ACAAACCACTCACGTAGCTCCTGGGGCGAAAGCTGACGCTGCTGCTGCTGCCTCTGACCACCGCCAAGGCCTCCCCTCTGACTGGTACCACCCCTGCCGCCACCACTGCCACCGCCTCCACTCCCACTGCCGCCATCACTGCCGCCGCCACTACCGCCACTTCCGCCAGCACCGCCGCCACCTACACCTCCACCCCCACCACCACTCCCCCCGCCACCGCCGCCCCCTCCACCTCCTCCACCGCCTCCACCGCCTCCTCCACCTCTGCCGCCCCCACCGCCCCTGCCTCCCCTACCCCTGCCGCTGCGGCGCCTCCCACTAGGGGCAGACGCAGCTCCTACCTCCTCAGCACGAAGGTATTCAACAGCTGCAGAAGAGGCGACTGAGGGGAGAAGGGGGGAGGGCGAGCACCCCTCAAAGAAGGGAGTGCGAGGAGTGCCACGAGAAACGCCTACAGCGACTATGCTAGTCTCAGCTGTAAGGAGGTGCTTCTCGAGCAGGTCGACAGTGAGGGTGGTGGGGTCAACGGCGAGAAGGAGGTCCCTGACAGCGCTAAGAGAGTCAGGGAGGCGGGTGACTATAAAGCAGAGAGTGATGTACATGGGAGGAGGGTTCTTGGTGAGAAATTCGGCGGGAAGTGCAGCACGGTAGCGAGTGTCACTAGTGCGAAGGTGAGTGACTAGGTCGGCTACTGTGGCAAAGGCGGACATATCTGGGAACAGGTAGGGCAGGAGAAGGCGGCCTAGAGCAGCAGTGGCCGGGGAGGAGTAACGAGCGACTACAGCGTCGTACAGTGCTTTCGCAGTCTTGTGCTGTCCGAAACGAGCGCGTTCGGCTAACGGCAGGTGGTTGCGAACAGCTAGGCGAGCAGCAGGGTCACGAGTAAGCCACTGGGAGCGAGCTATACTGTCAGCTGTGGCGGCAGGGGCGACAGAGGTGCCAGAAGTGAGGTCAAACAGTGAGACTCCGTCCTTGGAATCGCTCAGTAAGAACAGTTGTAAGTCGTCGAGCCACGCATCGAACTCTATCAGGCGGCCCTCTGGATCGAACGTGAGGACACTGAGCGTGGCCATAGCGGGCAGAGCGGTCGGGCGCGCTAGCAGCAGAGCAGCACGCAGGCAGGGCTAGGCAGGCGAGCGTGCTATCAGGAGGGCAGCACGCAGGCAAGGCAAGGCAGAGCGGCGCAGGGCGACGCAACAGCGAGTGGCGCGCGGCAGGGCAGGGTGCGCGGCGGAGCGGCGCGCGGGCAAAGCAGGGCGCGCGGCGGCGCGGCGCGCGGGCAGGGCAGGGCGCGCGGCGGCGCGGCGCGCGGACAGGGTAGGGCGCTCGGCGGCGCGGCGCGTGGGCAGAGCAGGGCGTGCAGCGGCGCCGTGCGCGGGCAGGGCAGGGCGCTCGGCGGCGCGGCGCGCGGGCAGGGCAGGGCGCTCGGCGGCGTGGCGCGCGGGCAGGGCAGGGCGCTTGGCGGCGGGCGGCGCGCAGGCAGGGCAGGTCGCGCTGCGGCGGGCGGCGCGCTGGCAGGGCAGGGTGCGCAACGGCAGGCGGCGCGCGGGCAGGGCGACGCGGCGCGCGGGCAGGGCAGGGCGCGCTGCGGTAAGCGGCGGCGCGGCGCGCGGGCAGGGCAGGGCGCGCGGGTCAGATAGGGCGCGCTGCAGCGGGCGGCGCGCGGGCAAAGCGGAGCGTGCTAAAGCGGGCAGCCCGCGGGCAGGGCAGGGCGTGTGCAGGCAGCGCGACGCAGGGCAGGGCAGGGCTGGGCGGCGCGATCACGGTGGCGCGACGGGTGGGGTAGCGCTACTCGGTGGGCCCTAAGGAAACGGTCCTAGGCTAGGACCTGCTCTGAAACCATGTCAAGATTACAAACGAGAATGAATTGACTAAGAGAAGGATGGGTACAAGTGCTAACCCTAATTGGGTTGTACCCCATATGGGCTACCCCACTACAGCCTACACAATAAGCAGCATATAAGTTTGACAAGGTGTAGACTGCGAAGAAGTGTTATGATGCTATTTTTGCGCGTGATTCCACCCCTTCCTCTACCTCTTTCAGCCGCCTCCTCATGCCTTTTGTGTTTCCCGACTTTGGCTTGTTTGCGACTATCTCCGACCTTGCCACTCACCTGCATTCCCTCGACACTAGCTCCCGTGCAGCCTGCACTGAGGCTCAACTTCCCCTTGCCCCCCCTCCTATGTGGCTCACAATTCACAGGTTAGTCACTCGCCTCTCTGACCACCTCTCCTCTGCCCGTGATGCACTTCTTCAAAGGCACCTCCGTGAGCTTACGATCGTTCTCCTCGAGACCACTCTCGAGAAGAATGAGAGTAACCTACTCTCAGTTGCCTCTGCCACTCACGCAGTCTTTCCCCGTCTCTTTGAGGGGTGTGCTGTCCCTCAGCTTCCCACCTTCACTGCTACTCATGCCTCTGTTGCGGTGTTTGTCTCTGAGAAGACTGCAGCTGATTCAGCCGCTGACTCGCAGAAACGAGGCAAGGGTGGCAAGAAAGGGTGGAAGGGGGGTGGCGGCGGTGGCAGAGGTGGCGGTGGCGGCGGTGGCGCTAGGAGGGGGAGTGATGGCGGCGGCGGCGGTTCTGGTGCGCCTGGAGGCGGGAGCCTTGGAGAAGGTGCTGGACCGACGGGCCCACCATCTGGAGGTGTTGCCGCCAGCGATGGTGCAGGGGCTCATCAGCAGCAGCAGCAGCCGCAGCAGGGATAGTAGCAGTAGTAGGGACAGCAGCAGCGGCAGGGGCCGCAGCAGGTTTCACAGTGGGGGCCCCCACAGCAGTGGGGTCAGCAGCATTGGGCCCCCCCCGCAGTGATAAAGGGATTTACTCTTATAAGCGAAAATGCACACGGTAACGTGGTCCCTGCGAGCTACCTAGTGTGATGCTGGCATCGAGGTTCGGGGCGTACGTTGAATCGGCCAGGCCAGCGATGCATTGGTTTGGCAAATGCAGCGAGAAGGTTGGCGAAGCCCCGGTAGAAGTAATGGGCGAACAAATGGTTGGTCATGTACGCGGTGTTGAAGCACGCCGTAAGGAATGCCGAAAAAATCCTTACAATAATAGAAACTAGAGAGCTATCTTATAAATATTTTCGTATATAACTCCACCCGGGAGTGGCAACTTGCGATCAAGTATACGGTTGTCTAAATAAACTGTCGAAAACATTCAACCATATCTATTTAGCTAGTGGATGCGATAATACGATAACAACATAGTGTAAATCGAGTGACAGATTTAAACAGTATGCATATCATGTCCGAATCAGTGTGACTCGGTACACTATACTGATTCGTCAGTGTTACTTGTACAGTAACACGCAAAATGGTCAGTGTGACAAAATAGGTTATACTGAAATTTCAGTGCAAAATTGAAGCATGTGCTGAATTTCCAGGGAAAACGAAAATCTGAGCTACAAAATCAGCGCAATCAGCGTGTTTTACGCTGATATCTGAGGGCAAACCAGGATTCCCGCAAAAACTCACTCACGGCCCCCTCAGGAAGTTCCCGCCTACGGGAATCAATCCCGAGACCTTCGCGATTACAAGACATAATCCAAACCACTACGGCAGATACCGTTCAAGATTTGCAGTGACAATTTAACACTGATGGCGCAGTTTCCCTTGAAATTTCACACTGAAAAAATCAGCATAAGTTTAACCCCCAAGGCTGATTCGGACACCACTTTGGACACTGCACACTGATCGATCAGCATACCCTGAAACCAATCTGAGGGCCTGATGCATGGTGTAAGTTTGAGTTGGCGAGGAACAGCAAAGTGAGCCGCATGGTAGATGTTTCGGTAACCATGGTGTCGGATTGAGACTAAGCCTCTCACGATGATAGAGCGATGGTAGACGAGCGCCCAAAGTGCAAGCTAAAAGGCCACAGCATATACAATCCATTTTATCCTTGGTCTGGCCATAAATGAATCACTGAAGCAAAAAAGAATCAACATGGCCAAGGGCTATCCTTGGTCCCCCAAAGATATTGCCGAACCCGCTTGGCAGCAACCCACTGTTTCGAGGTACCACAAATGATGCTAACAAACCGAGCAAGAACGAGGACGACGTCGTGCACATTAAAGCTCGCGTCTCAGATTTCCAACCTTTTAACACTTGGTTGGGTTTTCCCGTCTGTGATTGGGTAACGAATGACGAATTATTTGACGAGTGGGTGAAAAAAACACAGCGAACTCCCAAACAGTCGAGGCCAAAACAAACCAGGGTGGGTTGGTTTGGTTGGAAAACGAGCCAAGGGGGACAGGTTTGGTCCCGGGTTCTGTCAACGTTGAGTTCAGAGTCTCATATTTTCGAGAGTTGTTAACACTTGGTGTGCACGGGGAAGTGTGCGACAGCCAACTTTCCCAAACCACCCCTTGCTTTGGTGTGCTTTGCGACAAACTCTGCTGTTACCGGATTCCAACCGTTTAACACTTGGTTGGATGGCAGAAATATGAGACGCGAGCTTTAAGGCATTCATCAACGTGTTGATGAGGAGGCAGAGGAGCAGGTGAGGAGGAGAGGAGCAGGACGACATCCCGATTATTGAAGCGACAAGCTTGACATGATTCCTTCGATCCTGATGCTAACCCGCCCCACCTTTACGGTAGACTTTGCGTGCCAACCAACCCGTTCCCGTCGTGTACTTTTCAGGTCCCCGTGGCCCGTCTACATAGGGTCCTGCATGAATATCGTCACTATGCGTAGTCCTTCACTTGTAGTGTCATTTGAGTAGCAAGCACCTTCGATATTCATTTCTCCCCACCACACACATTGTTCCTTTAGAACTCTGAGCAAAGGCCCTGTCCTCAATCACTCCACAACAAAGCGACACGTTGCATCTGGCTAGTTTTCTACCACATATTCATACCGTACTTGTAAAGCTTTCATGAAGAATGTTGATGATTGTTGTGCAATTGAGCGAGCGAGGATGACGCAACAAGGCTAGGAAAAAAAGAAAAAGATTACAATCAAATTTCATTCAATCAGTATAGTTCAGAGACACTACCCCCTAACGAGCATCGACCATCCTTTGTTTGACCACACAGCCTCCATGGCCATCTTGTAAGCCTCCACCTGCTGCTCCTCCTCCTCCATTTCCTCCCACCACTCCATGAACCCCACCCCACTTGCCTCCCGTTGAGCCACACTCCCAACCAACCCCTGCGCACCGATAACACATGGCTTATCTCCCGTAAGTCCATCCTGTGTGCCTGCATCAGCGTCGGCTAGGCCCAGGGCAGGTTCCAGCACTACTGTCAGGTGGTTCTGTAGCAGTCCCCTGACAGCTGCACGCGCTGAATCAGAGTTGACATTCCTTTGCTGATCAACGTCTGCACGCTCCGCATGCGAACACACCCTGAGTCCAGAATCTCCGTGTGAAGGCTGTCCGTTTGGACGCGCCTGCCCCCCGCTATGTGCTTGACATCTGCTGGCTGTATGCTCTTCATCACCTTCTTTTGATGTAGCATCATCCATGGCAGCAGCACCATCAGCAGTAACATCAGCAGCATCAGCACCACCAGAAGCAGCATCAGCAGAACCATCAGCAGCACCATCAGCACCATCAGCAGCATCTGCGGCAGCATCAGCAGCATCAGCAACAGCAGCACCACCAGCGGCAATAGCTTCATCCTTGCTTGCTTGTTCCCCATTTCGAGCACCTTCGTCCACCTGTTTGTGCTCATCCATTTCTTCACAGCCCTCCTCTGCATCTATCTCCATGGCATCAGCAGCACCATCAGCAGCACCATCAGCAGCACCATCAGCAGCACCATCAGCAGCACCATCAGCAGCACCATCGGCAGCATCAGCACCACCACCAGCACTACGATTACCACCAGGACCAGCAGCAGCAGCAGCAGCGGAAACAGCAGCAGCAGCACTAGCGGTAGCAGCATCAGAATCAGCATCAGCATCAGCGTTGGCATTAACATCAGCATGAGCATCTACTGGAACAACTGCTGTAGTGTCTGCTGCAGGGGATGCAGCAGCATCCGTGGCATAGGTAGAACCAGTCACCGTTGCATCACAAGCAGAAGCAGCAGCAACAGCATCAGCTTCAGCGCCTGTAGCATCTTCTGGAGTAATTGCAGCTTCTGAGACAGTTGCAGCTTCCGAAATATTAGCAGCTTCAGGAACAGCAACTTGTTTGAAACTAGTATCAGCTTCAGGAGAACTAGCAGCTTCCTGACTTGTAAGAGCTCGGGGCAATGCACAAGCATCAGGGATTGTGTCAGTGGTGGAAACAGGAGCAGCAGCTTCAGGAGGAGCAACATCTTGAGGAATAGTATCAGCTTCAGGAAAAGCATAATAGGGTTCGGGAGCAGCAGCAGGTTCAGGAGTGGCAATAAGCTCGTGAGTGGTAACAGGTTTAGGTGCGGCAGCAGCTTTGGGGGTGGGAATAAGAATGGCAACAGGTTCGGGAGCAGCAGCAGGTTCGGGAGTGGCAGTAACCTCATGAGTGGTAACAGGTTTGGGTGCAGCAGCAGGTTCGGGAGCACTGTGGAACATGCAGCAGCTACCGCCACCACATCCACCACTACCATGCACATTCAGGCCATAGGGAATACTTCTGAGCCATGCGCCCTTGAGCCATGCAGCATGTGTGACATTCATCTGCTGCACTGCTACCTCCACCCATTCCACCCCTGCTTCCCCCACTTCTGATTCTCCTTCCTCTGCTTCCCACTCTTCAATTTCCTTTGCCTCTGCTTCCCCCATCTCTACTTCTCCCTCCTCTGCTTCCCCCTCCTCTGCTTCCCCCTCCTCTGCTTCCCCCTCCTCTGCTCCCTCCTCCTCTGCTCCCCCCTCCTCTGCTTCCCCCGTTTCTGCTTCCTCCTCCTCTACTTCCCCCTCCTCTATTTCTTCCGCCTCTGCTTCCCCCGCCCCCGCTTCCCCCTCCTCGACAACTGTTTCCACCACCACTGCTTCCCCCAATTCTGCTTCCTCCGGCTCTGCTTCCCCAAACTTTACTTCCCCCTCCTCTGTTTCCTCCGCCTCTTCTTCCCCCATTTTTGCTTCCCCCACCTTTGCTCCCCCCTCCTCTGTTTCCCCTTCCACTGCTTCCCCCGTTTCTGCTTTTCCCGCCTCTGTTCTGACCACCTCTAATTCCCATTCATCTTCCTCCGCCGCCTCTGCTTCCCCCACCTCCACTTCCCCCTCCTCTTCTTCCCCCTCCTCTATTTCCCCCGCCTCTGCTTCCGCCACTTCCACTTCCCCCTCCTCTTCTTCCCCCTCCTCTATTTCCCCCGCCCCTGCTTCCCCCACCTCCACTTCCCCCTCCTCTATTTCCCCCGCCTCTGCTTCATCCGCCTCCAATTCCCCCTCCTCTGCTTTCCCAGGCTCTGTATCCCTCCCCTTTGCTACCCCCGTTATTGCTTCCTCCGCCTCTGCTTTCCCCGCTATTAACCCCCCGACCTCTGTTTCCTTCGCCTTCTCTTCGGCCGCCTCTACTTCCCCCATCTCTATTTCCCCTGCCTTTGCGTCTCCCCCCTCTGCTTCCCCCTCTTCTTCTTCCGTCGCCTCTACTTCCCCCATCTCTACTTCCCCCACCTCTCCCTTTCCTTCGCCCGCCTCTGCTTCCCCCTCTTCTTCTTCCGCCGCCTTTACTCCCCCCATCTCTACTTCCCTAGCCTTTGCTCCCCCTGAATCTCCTTTCCCGTCCTCTACTTCCGCTGCCTCTACTTCCCCCATCTCCACTTTCCCCGCCTTTGATTCTACGCTCTTTGATTCCCCCTCCTCTTCTTCCGCCGTCTCTGCTTCCCCTACCTTTGCTTCCCCCGCCTCGGCTTCCCTCATTTCTGCTTTCCCCACCTCTTCTTCGCCCGCCTCGGCTTCCCCTGCTACTGATTCCCGCACCATTTCTTCCACCACCTTTGCTCCCCCCACCTCTGCTTCCATAGTTTTTGCTTCCCCCGCATTGCCATTATCAGGTGCTCCAGGCACTTCAGTTGGTTCTGCTGGTTCGGGAGTTTTGGTGAGGCAGGATGTCTGTGGTGCTTTCTGCACTTCATGTGCTTCCAGCGCTTCAGGTGCTGTCAGCATTTCAGGTGCTTTCAGCAATTCAGGTGCTCCCAGCACTTCAGGTGCTGTCGGCATTTCAGGTGCTTTCAGCAATTCAGGTGCTCCTAGCACTTCATGTACTGTCAGCACGTCAGGTGCTTTCAGCAATTCAGGTGCTCCCAGCACTTCAGGTGTTCCCACCACTTCAGGTGCTTTCAGCAATTCAGGTGCTCCAGGCACTTCAGGTGCTTTCAGCACGTCAGGTGCTTTCAGCACTCCAGGTGCTTTCAGCACTTCAAGTGCTTTCAGCTCCTCAGGTGCTTCCAACACTTCAGGTGTTTCAGGAGCACTGAAGAAAGATTCGTCCGAATCAGAATCGCCAAACGTGGCTGAACCTGGAATACCTTCATCAGTACCAGCAGTGCCAGATGCACCTTCCCCAGATGCACCTTCCCCAGATAACCCTTCCTCAGAAGCACCTTCCTCAGAAGCCCTTGCGCTCAAAAGGCCCTTGGAAGTCACCACCTTCTCCTCACTCCTCTTGTCGCCACCAAGCCCCGAACAAGCTGTCTCACCCTCGCTCTCACTCTCATTCACTCCCTCACAGCCACTGTCCCTCCTCTCACCACCCACCCCTTCACAACCACCGTCCCTCCTCTTACCATTCACTCCTTCAACCTTGGTTTCGCTTCCGTCGCCACTGGACTCACACCCACTTGACTCATCGTCCTCTTCCTTCCTCGCATGTTCACACCCGCTCCCACTCTCCCCCACACCTCCCCTTTCCCCCATCACCCCCTCTCTTTCCTCTACAGCTGTAACCCTCCCCGTTTCCTCGTCTGTTCTGTCACTCCGCTCCCCCTTACGCCTCTCCACCGCATCCAACACCCCCTTATCGTCCATGGCCTCTGCTTTTTCTCCCCCTTGCAGGCGCACATCCCCTCTGCTCCCTTCCTCCTCATTCTCGCAAACCCCATCTGCACTCCCTTGCTCTTGCGCTGCGCCCTCTCCATTTTCCGCATCCGCTGCAATAGCCCCATGCGCTCCCCCCCTGCCCTTGCAGTTTCCCCCAAAACCTCCGCCTTCCCCGCCAAAGCTTCCGCCAACGCCCGCATGGGCGCAATCTCCGTCCGCCATTCCCCGTTTCCGCTCTCCTATCTCCGCGTCCCCCTCCCCCTCACCCGCCATATCTCTCACTGTTATCCCTTGCACGCGCTCCTCGTTACCGTCCCCAACCCCCACCGCCACCACTTCCCCCTCCACCGCCAATACCCCCTCCGCCATCTCTCCCCCCTCCTCCATTACTTTCCCTTGCGCCATGCCTCCGAGATCGCGCCTGTCACTTTCGTGCGCGTGCGCGCCAATCGCCACCTCATCTCCCGCCATCCCGTCCGCGCACGCCTGCGGAGACTCTCCGTTACCCTCCGCCTCCGCACCGCCTTCTGTCGCATCTTCCGCCTGCTCCCGCTCCTTCTCCGCCTCCTCTGCGCGCACACTCTCCGCGCAAGTCCCCCCAGCCGCGAATTTATCTCCGTCCTTCCGCGCATCTTCCGCAGGGGCACTGAGCGACGTTCCCCGGGCGCCTTCTCGCGCGCCTTCCCACGCTTTCCCGCGCGCCTCTGCTTCCCCGGTACTCGCGCGGCCTTCGGTTTCATGCGCTGCTGCCGCCACCACCGCCTGTGCCGACGCTGCTTCCGTGCTTCCTTCCGCGCTTCCTTCCGCGCTTCCCTCCGCGCTTCCCTCCGCGCTTCCTTCCGCCGCGGTGAGAATAGCAGGTTGGATAGTAGAGGCGTCGTCTGCTGTTTCAAGTTCTATCACCTCCTGTTCGATTACCGCTGGTGCGCTCAACCCCAAGTCAACCACACCACCGCACGCTTCCATCGCGATTCCGACATTTTCCTCGAGTTCCTCCGCCTTCGCCGCTTTCGCCAGCGATTGCGAGAGCTGCGGCACGATCGCGAGCTTCACGCGCTTCTGCCGCTTGCGCGTGCATCGCGTGCCGGCACCGCCAGTAGCACCACCACAGGGCGGAACCGCCACCTGCGTTCCTGCAGCCTCTCCTTCCCTCCACGTGCGCTTCGAACGTGTCTTTCCTTCGTTCCCGCTTCCCCCGTCCTGCTCCCCCCGCGCAGTCCCGTCAGTCTCTTGCCCCTCCACCCCGTCACCGTCAGTCGCGGCGCCGTCAACCTGCGCAAGCTCCAGCCCGTGACCCTTCGAGGCGGGGCTGTTGGTATCGCTGCGGTTACTGGGAGACTTGGGATTGCTGGAGGTGTTACTAGCATGGGCAACGGCGGCGCACTCAGCGTGCGCAAGCTCCAGCCCGTGACTCGTCGTTCCGGGGCCGTTGGTAACTCTGCGGTGACTGGGAGTCTTGGGGTTGCTGGAGGTGTTACCATGGGCGACGGGGGGGATGGTGCCGCAAGCGGGACTCTTCCCGCTGGCGCCCTGGTTGCGGCGGTTGCGGCGGCTGCTTGCTGCGTTGATCCATACCGGTGACGCTACGATGCGCGATATCAGCGAGAACTTTTCCGCCTTGTCCCGTTCCTTGTCAGAAGCCACTAAGGCCGCGGCGCCGCGGCCGCTCGACCCGCTGCTGCTGCTGCTGCTGCTGCTCCCCGCGCGCGCACGACTCGCGCGCTGCTCCCGCGCGGCTTCCGCGGAGTCTTCCGCTGCCGCTGTTGGTGGGACCGGGCTCGCGGTGGGTCGTGCGGTTACTGGATGGTCCAAGGCGGCGGAAGCGCGTGTGAGAATCTGAGTGGGAGATGATGCGGCGGCGGCGGCTTCCGCGGGGCTGGGGGAGTCGTGGAGGAGAGTCGCAAGGTGCGCGGAGAGGGACGCGGGGACGCGGAGAAGAGCGGCGAGGAGGCGCACGGCGCTCGGGGAGAGCCGGCGCAGCTGCTTGACTAGGGGACGTGGCGCGAGGCGCAGCTTATTGTGAAGCTCCTGAGAGAGAGGGTGGGGGATGACGAAGCGGGAGGAGAGGATTGAAGTGAGCAAAACAGGGAAAGCGGGCCTCCTACAGGTGCTGTGCCTTCGAAAGTACTGGAGGAGTCTTCTAAAGGCAAGTGGAAGCTGGCTACTGCCAGAGCGCCCTTTTCTACAATCGAATTGGACGTCCGGCGTGTCAATGTCACGTCGGTCGGTTTTTTTTCAGATCCAGTCGTCACACCGAGAATGATCATAAACGTCGAGTATGATGTCTGCCCAGTCGTCGACCCACCATGAACAAGGGCGACTCCCGCGCATCGAGCTCCACAGCCACCAGCGCGAGCGCGTCTGTCGGAGTGACGTCGGACGACAGCCTCCCGCCGGACAGCGGCGCGAACGCCTCCCGTGCTGCGCTTCCTCCTCCTCCCGCCGCCGCAGCCGCTGCCGTCGCCGCCGGTGGCGCCACCGCTACTCCCTCGCCGGCAGTGCCCACCAGCCGCTCCACATCGCTCACGAACGTCCGCAACGCGTCGCCGTAGAGTACTTCGGCCGTGAGTCGCGTCGCGCCGGGGCCGAGCTCGTCGAGGTCCGTGATTCGCCTAAGAGGGCCTTTGCCGGCCATTTGCTTTAGTGGACGCGTGTCCACATTAAGAGGTGCCGCGGAACCGGTTTTGCCCGAAAGTTTCGATGGTTGCTTTCGCTTCATCGTGAATTTGACTTGAGTGGTGGGTTAGAACGTCTCGAAGGCAAAGACAGGGGTAAGTAAGTATGCTAAATCAGGACAATGGCAATAAGCTGGGTCGGTACTATGCTTTGTGTGGTACTGACTAGGGACAATTGAGAGTATGGTTGGGTGGCCTGCTTCGATTTTGAATAAGCCATGGGAATGGTGGGAGGAAGCGAAGAGCCGAATTTCGTGGGGACATCGTGGTGGAGAGGTTCAGCCGCAGCGCGAGTCAAACGAATCACGGCACGTTCCTTCGGGATGGGACCAGAACTTCAAAATTCAAATTAACAAAATGTACGCGATACAGACCAGTATCTCCTACCAAGCATGTGAAAGTCTGATAAGTGCTGGGCATAACTGTGTAAAGATAACAAGTACAAAAGTGGTAGGACAGAAAGAATATAATTCAAGGTGTTCATGGATTAACCTTTTAATTCAATATTTTTTTTTCTGAATGGTATGCATTCAGTGTAATCTCTGGTAGTATCATATTTATATCATTATTAAAAAATCAAGGGATTATGATTTTTTTTTCTAAAATTCAGATGTAGTTTTATTTCCATGCCAAAATTAGCTATAATTTGATGTCATGCATAGAAAACCAGACAATTTATGTGTGAAGGTGTGTGGCATGAAGCTGAGCTAATACTTTTCTCAGCGTTCTACTTTATTCTGCATTGTATTTCACTACAAGCACTTTGACCACGACGCTGACTCGCTCACCCCCAAGCGACACTCAACAGTGCCGCGCCGACTTTCCAGTATTTTCTCCTCCTCCTTCCGACCCCCTCTACGTTGACTGGATTCGCGTTGACCCCCAAATCCTCCTCGCCATCCGATAGTCAAACAAAGATTTCTCCTAGTGGCAGCAAAGGCGATGGCAACCGAAGTACAAATAGCGAGCTCGCCCGACGCATTACCCAGTGCAGCGCTTGCCTCAGACACCTTTCCACGCCGCGGCGGTCGAACCTCCTTGGCCATCCCAGCAGCATTGCCTCGTCGGCTCCCACTCGAACCGCCGTCGCCGTCGCCGCTTTTGCGCCACCGAAATCTGTGGCTCGTTTCCCTCTTCGCCACTCCCACTCGCATCTCCTCTTCGCATTCGACTCGCGCCCTCAGGTGTGTATCCAGTGACCCTGAACCACTGGCAGTGGTTCGATTCGTCGCATCCTCGACACGCCGCTGAACTATTTCTAGTTACACGCGAACCTTTCAACGTTACGTGCCGCCCGCCATGTTGCCTCCTCGCCGCGCCTCGTCCTGCCTCGTCCCCGCACTCGCGCTCGTCGCGCTCCTCTGCTTCGCGCGCATCGATCACGCCGCGTGCAATGCGCGCTCGTTCGGCCTTCCGCGTTTCGGGGGAAGGCTCGGCGGCTTGGTGGGAGGGTCGGGGACAAGCGGCATCTGGTCCTACTTCCGCCCCCCCGGGACCGGCGGCGCTGGGGGAAGTGGCGCGACGAGCGGCGGGCAGAGCGGGCAGGGCGGGTTTGGCTCGCAAGGAGGTGGCGGAATGAGCGGACAACCGAGTAGCACGGGCGGAGGAGACATGGGCGGAGGAGGCTTGGGGGGGGGAGGCATGGGCGGAGGAGGCATGGGCGGACGAGGCATGGGCGGAGCAGGCATGGGCGGAGGAGGCATGGGCGGAGGACCAGGCATGGGCGGACCAGGCATGGGCGGAGGACCAGGCATGGGCGGAGGAGACATGGGCGGGGGAGGCATGGGCGGAGGAGGCATGGTTGGGGGAGGCATGGGCGGAGGAGGCATGGGCGGAGGAGGCATGGGCGGAGGAGGCATGGGCGGAGGGGGCATGGGCGGGGTAGGCATGGGCGGAGGGGGCATGGGCGAAGGAGGCATAAGCGGAGGGGGCATGGGTGGAGGAGGCATGGGTGGAGGAGGCATGGGCGGAGGAGGCATGGGCGGAGGAGGCATGGGCGGGATAGGCATGGGCGGAGGGGGCATGGGCGGAGGAGGCATGGGCGGAGGGGGCATGGGCGGAGGGGGCATGGGCGGGGGAGGCATGGGCGGAGGGGGCATGGGCGGAGGGGGCATGGGCGGAGGAGGCATGGGCGGAGGGGGCATGGGCGGAGGAGGCATGGGCGGGGGAGGCATGGGCGGAGGAGGCATGGGCGGGATAGGCATGGGCGGAGGGGGCATGGGCGGAGGAGGCATGGGCGGAGGGGGCATGGGCGGAGGGGGCATGGGCGGGGGAGGCATGGGCGGAGGGGGCATGGGCGGAGGGGGCATGGGCGGAGGGGGCATGGGCGGAGGAGGCATGGGCGGGGGAGGCATGGGCGGCGGGTCATCGGGTGGGAGTGCATGTGGCAACAGCAGCAGCAGCAGGAGCGCCAAGCTCACGAGCAGCAATGGCAAGAGGTGCGCCCACCCGCTCTGCGTGCCATACTCCTTCCCTCCTAGCTTCATAACCGCTTTATGCACACTCAAGGCATACTCATCACTTCCCTTCGTGCCTGTCCTTCCGTCTCCCCCCTGCGCTGCTCGCCCCTGCCCACCCTGCGCTGCTCGCCCCTGCCCCCCCTGCGCCCCTGCGCTGCTCCCCCTTTGTTCCTCCGGCCCCATTGCCTAAACCTTAAACCCCATGGCAGGGTGATGGCAAGCAACGGGTGTCCGGGATACGAGTGGCGAGTTGGGGGCACGGTGAACACGCCAGTGCAGCAGACTCTCTCCTTGGCTGTGCCGCTCGCCCCCACACTCGCCACCTCCGCCATCCCTGTCTCCGTGGGCGGCTGCAAGATGGGGCCCATCGGCTTTGCCCTCAACGGCGTGCCCTTCTACAGGTGGGCGCGGAGGAGGGGCAGGGGAGAGGGGGTAGGGAGAGCGAGAGTGAGGGATGGTGGTGGGCAGCAGGGGGAGGGTGATGGGGAGGGGGGAGGTGCAGGGGAGAGAGGGGGAGGTGCAGGGGAGAGAGGGGGAGGGGCAGGGGCGAGAGGGGGAGGTGCAGGGGAGAGAGGGGGAGGGGCAGGGGAGAGAGGGGGAGGTGCAGGGGAGAGGGGGAGGTGCAGGGGAGAGAGGGGGAGGGGCAGGGGAGAGAGGGGGAGGTGCAGGGGAGAGAGGGGGAGGGGCAGGGGAGAGAGGGGGAGGTGCAGGGGAGAGAGGGGGAGGGGCAGGGGAGAGAGGGGAAGGTGCAGGGGAGAGAGGGGGAGGTGCAGGGGAGAGAGGGGGAGGTGCAGGGGAGAGAGGGGGAGGTGCAGGGGAGAGAGGGGGAGGTGCAGGGGAGAGAGGGGGAGGGGCAGGGGAGAGTGAGGATGGTGGGCCGTTGATGGCACTTGGCTTGTGAGAAGGATCAATCGGCTTATGGCATGGGGGAATGGGCATGGCCAGCATAAATCACTAGCTGCACTCACCATTGCCGTTCCCTTCCAGCGTCCACTCCTCTGTCCCATCCTCTTGCCAGCTACCTACCTTCTCTCTCGCTGTGCAGTGTGCCACTGCATCCCCCCTCACTCACTCACCCCTCATCCCCTTGTGTCCCACCCTGCCCTCCTGCCCGCAGTGCATGCGACGCGCTGGGGCGGGACTCGTTGAAGTACGAGGGGCCGAGCTTTGACACGTGTGGGGGGCACCCGTCTCCCTTCGGCCAGTACCACTACCACGTCGCGCCTGGCGTCGCCAACCCCTCTGCCATCTCTGCCTCTCGCACCACCGACTTCCAGCTCTGCTCGTGCGTTAATACCTCATGCCTGCTCCCATGCCTACTTCCGTTCCTGCTTCCATGCCTGCTCCCATGCCTGCTCCCATTCCTGCTCCCAAGCCGGCTCCCATGCCTGCTCCCATGCCTGCTCCCATGCTTGCTCCCATGCCTGCTCCGCTGCCAGTCACACGTTGCTGCCAGTCAATGTTTTCGTCTCCCCACTGCGGTGCACGTGCTGCTTCCTTGGCTCCTTCCACACCGAACCGTGCCTTGAGCCGTCCATGCATCCTTGCTTCATGCCATTCGTTCCCATGACATCACTAGGGATTCCTATGCACTCACATCTTTCCCTCTCCCCCTCCGCACCCATCGCAGCGCCTCCTTCTGGCAGGACACCCCCGGCGAGCACTCCCCGCTGCTGGGCTTCCTGGCGGACGGCATTCCGCTCTACGGCCCGCGCGGAGCAGGGGGGGAGCTGCCCTCGGGAGTGGACGAGTGCGGGGGGCACGTGGGGGACGGCAGTGCAGGCGAGCCTTTGTTCTACCACTACCACGCCAGCAGCACCGCGCCCTACACCGTCGCCTGCCTCAAGGGCTGCGTCGCCTCCTCTGACTGGGCCAACCTCGGCTCTGCTTCCTGCACCACGGGCAGCAGTGAGTGGGGGGGGATTGGAGTGGCGAGGGGTGTGAGTGGCAAGAGCTGTGAGCGTTTCCAAACGGTAGCTTGTCACCCATGTGCTGCTTTCTTTACCCCTGAACCTTACCTCGTTTCTTCCCCTCTACTCTGTTGTCCTCCCCTGTGCTCTCTCTCCCCTGCTCGGCCCTGCCCTGCTCTGCTCTGCTTTGCTCTGCTCTGCTCTGCTCTCTTCTCCTCTCCTCTCTCACTCCTCGTCTGCTCATCCTTCCCCTTCCCCCCAAAATCCCCCACCACGTCTCCCCACGCCAGAGCAATACGACTACTCATCCCTGGCAGCAGTGCAAGCAGCATAGCCCTACTCCCACCACCGCCCCACCCACTGTCTCTTGCCAGCCTTGTTGCCTGCTCTCCACTCCTTCAACCTCAATGCCATGCCAGCTGACACGTGTCACGTGTGACGGCAGTGCAAGTCGGGCACGTGGGAGGCGGATTAGGGTTGCATGTTGTCACATGATGAAGGGAAATTTGCTGGCGTGCCTTAGGGTGCGTTCCTGCCTCGTATCAAGTCACCCTGTGTCAGCGACTGTCTTTATTGATTCCCACATGCGGTGGTTGATGCGAGGTAGGAACTTTGCCCGCGTTACGGTAGTAGCTGATTCTTGGTGTGTGCCTTTTGGTGGTGCGTTGTGATTGCTGTTTTGTTGATAAGCATAGTTTGCTGCAACATTACGAATACTATTATGAAATCCCCATTAAACGAATCAAACCAGTCCTGTCCTGTGCATCGATCCACCATCCTTCCTTCCATGCACAAGAGCAATACTCCTGGCCATTGCTCAATGGCTCCATTGGCCATTTCCAGGCCACCAGCTCAACCCCTCACAAATATACGCACCCACAACCTCAACAACCCCCACCCCACCCACATCCACTGCCCATCCCCCCTCACACAAATCCCAGAAAGAAGCTCTAAACATGAAATGCTTTTAGAAAAGAATATCAGCAGGCAATGGCCAACGAGGACACCACCACCACCACCGACCAGTGGTCGCAAGTGACCCACCAAACCGCAGGTTCCTGGTGCTGCCCTGCCTGCTGCACTGCATGCCCGCACGCCAGGCGCCATGCCGTGCCACTCCACCCCCCTGTCGCTGCTTAAGGCACCATCTGCTGCACAAGCAGGCACTACCGCCTGGTTCTGAACCCGAGCGTACACTTGCTCCTGTGCTGCGCTGCCCTTGGTAATGTTACTTACTTGGCAGGGTGCCCTAAAGCCAATCTAGAGCCATGGAACCTGGTCTTGCGAAGAGTTGCAGTTGTACGCGTCATAACGTAAACTCGGTAAGCGAATTGAGAATTCCTATACAGACGAGGGCTAACAACTATATAGTACATAAAAGGCTAATCCAGCGGGGACCCGATAATGGTACATTTCCGAGCACCGAACATGCACTGTTACTGTGCGTAATCCAGAAACAGCAGAATAGAATGGCTGGGCTAGGGTCTGTGTCCCACCCTATACGCATTCTGCAAAAAGCAGAGAGCACATGTTACAGTTCTGGTGCTTATATAAGTGCATCCATGGAAAGAAGCTCTTGTAAAACAATGTACAACATGTAAGTCGTCCCATCAGCAACCACTAGAAAACAAAAGGGGCAATGAAGGAGCAAAGCAGAAGCATTAATGTGACAGAACTGCCAGCTGCTGCTGCTGCTGCTGCTGCTGCTGCTGCTGCTGCTGCTGCTGCTGCTGCTGCTGCTGCTGCTGCTGCTGCTGCTGCTGCTGCTGCTGCTGTTGCTGCTGTTGCTGCTGCTGGGGCAGCCTTTGCAGTGGTATTGGCAGGGGAAGCAAGAGCATTGGTACTGGCGGCGGGAGCAGCATCATTGGTATTCGTATTTGAAGGCGCGGCAGTGGCAGGGGCAGACGAGGAGAGTTGGAGAGGTGCTGATATGTGATCAATCGGAATGGTTGAGAGGGAGATTTTGGTCCTGATGTGGGTTGCGGGTGGGGTGGAGGGATGGGGGGGAGCATGTTGAAGAGGGATATGTTGCAGAGTATTTTTGAGAATTCTCAAAAATACTCGGGAGCATGTTGAAGAGGGATATGAGGGGGAGAGAATGCCGGGTTGGAGCGGTGTTAGATTGTGATTGATTGGAACGACTGAGGGCAAAATCTTGGTCCTGATGTGGGTTTACACTCACTGATCGAGACAGCCATGGAGCACTGTGGTAGGATGCAGGGCTTAGTGTGGTGGGAAGTAGAGTGGTGGAATGCGGTGGACTGGTTTGCAATCACTGGTCGGGGCAGCCATAGAGGACTGTGGCATTGACGTTGCACGTAGCTGATGAGGCAGGGCTTATTATTAGTGGGGATGTAGGGGTCGTGCGAGGTCCATGTAGTGTGTTGGAGAGGTCTAGGCGGCTGGAGCCACTAGTGACTGTGTGTGTCACTGTCCCTCGGCGCTCATTCAGTGATTCAGTGGGACAGGCATGGGGGACAGTGACAGTGTTGTTGCTTCCATAGCTCGTGACCGAATGCTTGTTGATAGAGTGCTGTGGTGTGGAGTGCGGTGGAGTGGGGTGCAGTGGCTTGCACTCACTGAGTGGGGCAGCCATGGAGGACGGTGACAGGACTGTCCCTCCCAAAGCTGGCGACGCACGGCTTGTTGGTGGGAATAATCGGGCTGTGCCCCCGCCCACACACGTAATGTGTGGAGAGGTCTCGGCGACTGGGGTCTAGAGAGAGTGTGCCGCTGTCCATCGCCCCACACACTGTGTAGCATGCATGCATGTCTGGTGTCAAGGGGTGGGTGGAAGGGAGGGAGGGACCAGAGGGCAAGGGGAAGACGGGTTGGTGATGCTCGGGTGTAGAGGGATCAGAGGGTGTTGTTGTCCATCGCCCCACACGCCGTCTAGCATGCATGGATCTCTGGTGAGGAAACAAGGGGCATGGGGGAGAGCAGAATGGGGGAGGGAGGAAACAGGAGGGAAGTGGGAGAAGGGTTGGGGCGGGTGGGATGTAGGGAGTGAGTGGTGTGGAGTTATGAAGGAGCGAGAGTGTGTGTTGTTATGAGGGAGAGTGTGTGGTGTTATGAGAGGGACTGTGGTGTTTGGGAAAACTGCTAAACGAGGAGGCCGTAGCATTTGAGAGCGTGGAGTTTGGGTGCGATGCTAAAAGAGGGTACACAACCACCCTGCCTTGCTCTGTGCCAATATTTTCTGAGAATTCTCAAAAGTTGCTCTTGTGTCAATTGTTACCTCGGCCCTGCGTTGCGGTGTAGTAAACAAGGTATGCCACACACATCTCGTTCTCAGCTGCTGGCCCTCCCACCGTTACCTGCCAGGCAGAGCGATAGAGACCAGAAAAGAGAAGGGCAGAGAGAGAGGGAGAGAGAGAGGAAAACACGGAGGCAACTTTTTCTCCAATCAGACAAATCTTGGAGCGCCTTGAGCATTGTTTTTTGAGGTCCTAAAAGTCTCAAGGGCCCAAGATTGTTACATTGGGGCGTGAGGAGAATTCCGGGCACCCTGTTACCGAGGTTTTAGAAGTCTCAAGACCCTGAATTTAGTACCTCAGAGCGAGAGGTGGAGTCCTGCATGCAGGTTGTGCGGTGTGGATCTTATCCCCTTGCAGCAGCTCAACTCCCTCAAACACGCCTGAAAAATAGTTACCTTGGGCTTTGAGGCGTCTTGAAACCCCCACAATACGTACGTCGAAGCGAGAGGTGGAGTCCCACACGCAGGTGGTGCGGATCTCGTCCCCTGGCAGCAGCTCAAACTCGGGCTGCACCGGCATGGTCTGCTGCGATGCATAGTCACTGCCACGCAGACATGGTTCAAGGTTAGGGAAGGGGAGAAAGGGGGGGGTTGATGGGGAGGGGAGAGGAGGAAGGAAGGAGGAGGAAAGCAGGGAGAGATGAGATCAGGGAGGGAAAGCGGAAGGAGAACTCACTAGTAGTCAATGCAGGTCAAGGAAGTTAATGGTTGGGTGGAAGGGAGCGGTGGTGGGGTGGAAAGAGGGCAAATAACTCACTAGTAGTCAATGCAGGTCAAGGAAGTTAATGGTTGGGTGGAAGGGAGCGGTGGTGGGGTGGAAAGAGGGCAAAGAACTCACTAGTAGTCAATGCAGGTCAAGGAAGTTGATGGTTGGGTGGAAGGGAGCGGTGGTGGGGTGGAAAGAGGGCAAAGAACTCACTAGTAGTCAATGCGGTTGATGGTTGTAACCGTTCTGGCCCCCCTGAGCACCTTTAGGTACATCTGAAGAGGCGATCCGCGCATAAGAGGGATGGGGATTGCAACAAGGAAGGCGGGAATGGTGTGAAGGCATGATGTGAAAGCGTGAGGTGAAGGCATGATGTCCTGTTGTCAAAATGAGGTCCCGCCTGATGCTTCATCAGTGGTGGTTTTTGAGTCGACTCAAAAGTCACCTGATGCTTCACCTGAAGCCTCCCACATGACGCTTCACCTGACGCCTCCCACCTGATGCTTCACCTTTCACCTCCTACCTGATGCACCACCTGACGGTGATAATAAGCATGAAGCGGTGATTTTATACCAGCACTTTACTAACAGCAATGCTTAAAGAATCCCACCTGACCTTAAAGAACACCTAAACCCTTAAAAAAAAAAAAAAAAAAAGAAAAAAAAAAAAAAAAAAAGAAAAAAAAAAAAAAAAAAAAAAAAAAACATCCCACCTGGCGGCCAATGTTATGCTCGTGGAGGATCGACCCAATGATCTTCACACTCTCATTCTTAAACACCGCAGCAGTGCACTCGCCCGGGCAGGAATTTGAGTGAGTCCAAGAGGGCATGGCGGGGGGGATGCGGATGAGCCGGGTGTGGTCCACCATGCCGACCTTCATGATGTGAGCGTCCTTGAAACCCGGCGATGCCGCCAGTTTTAGGTACACCCCGGAACTGTCGATCATGTCGCTGCGACCCTCGGGATTTGCATAGTGCATCTGAGGGATTCGCGTGGAGGGTAGGGGAGGGGGACGGGAGGGGGAGGGGAGAGGGAGGGGAGGGGGAGGGGGAAGGGAGAGGGAGGGGAGGGGTGGAAGAGGAGGGAAAGGCCAACAGTGTTGATATCGAGGAAAGTCTTGGTGTTTGTGTGGTGACTTTGAGGGACTGCCACAGAGGGAGGGGAGGGGGATGAATTAAGCAGAGACGCTCGAGTAGATTGTGGGGTGACAGGAGTGGGGTGACCGTGTGGAAACGCACTGAAACCCACTGCATTGCATAGAACCGCGCTGGACCGGACTGCACCCACCTCTAGCACAAACTTGGTGAAGTAGCCGGGGCCGATGGGGTAGCCGATGTAGGGGGGGAAGGTGAAGGGGCGCCCTCCCCACGCCCACACAGCCACGAACGTGCTGCATGGGGCCCTCCCCACACAGTCAAAGACCATTCCCGCTGGGAGAAGGTCTGGGTATTCCTCCCTGTTGGGAAGAGAGGTATCGGACGCGGTGAGGAGAAGTTAGGGGACGTGGAAAGAGGTGAGAGGAGGTGAGATGAGGTGGAAGATATGTGGTAGTTGCACCGCATGAGTGGATCCTGGATTTCGAGTAGAGGGTGGAGGATCAACGATGAGTGTGTGGTTGCAGGCTTATGACGAAAAGAACGACTGCAATTGAGCTGAATTGAATCACACAGCGCTGCTGAAAACCACAATGGATTGTACCGTGGTAACCACACATGCTTGGGTGTGTGTGGCCGGGCACCCTAAGAACGGACTCACGAGGAGCAGCCGTAGAGGAAGGCGTGGTGGAGGGAGGAGATATGGGTGGTGTTGATGACTGGCCCCCACTCCACCGCATGCTTCTTGCTCTCCAGAGGCGCGTCTATCACCTGCCGTGCAACGCAAGGGGCATGTGAATTGGCGGCGCAAGTTACAGATGGGGCCACAAATTGCCACCCAGATGAGTGTGCTACACATGAATGGGCGGCGCCATATATGATCACAGCGCCACGCATTTCCACGAGCTCGTGACGCGTCTCGAAACGCGTGCCAGACACACACGCAGCAACTACTAACACTGGCACAATTCGGTCGGGCCGTGCAGGGTGGCACATTGCAAGGTCGTACCATGCAGCGCTAGGAAGAGCTGTCCATGGGAACAGGATAATCCTTCACAGTAAACTCAAGCACGCGCGCGTCAGTCTCCTCCTCCCCCACTGCTTTCTGTTGTACGGCCAAACGCCCGGAACCTCGAATCGATTTAAACACAGCAGCGGCAGAAGCGGTTGAGGGCGGTTGTGAGGGTTCAAGAATGGTGGGGCCAGGGGCAGGAGCGAGCACCAGGGCGGCACCCCCTCGTGTGGAGCCATGATAGCTGACGTCATCTGTGGGGCCTGTCGCCCAGATGATGTTGTGAAGCTTCCCGGAAATGATAGGGCGGTCGTTGCAGTCGCCTGTGTCCAGCCGGCGCCATGCGTGCACGGTGGTCCACGTGTCGCCCGTGGATTGATTCGTGGTTTGACTGCCGCCCAGCACGTGCCAGTCTTGGTTGGAGTCTAGTGTGGGTTCGGTGCTGGTGTTGAAGATGAAGCAATCCGTGGCGTACACGCGTCCCTCTTTTTCCGCCACCCACGCCACGAGCACGTCTGGATCAAAAGTATTGGATTGAAGCACCGAAAAAAAGAGAGTGAGTGTGTGTGTGTGTGTGTGTGTGAGAGAGAGAGAGAGAGAGAGAGAGAGAGAGAGAGAGAGAGAGAGAGAGAGAGAGAGAGAGAGAGAGAGAGAGAGAGAGAGAGAGAGAGAACGAATCGAAGAAAAAACACAGAAAAAAGGGTGAAAATCAAGAACATGAATCTCTTTGATTCCGTGGAAAATAAACACAGAAAACAGTGCGGACCCATGAATTTCGTACCTGAGCCAACCATGGAGCCAATCTCGGAGATGCCTATAGCGAGCCATCCTGCCGTGTTAGCTCGAACCGCCAATCGGATGGTCGCATCGCTGTCGTTGACGGTCCAATGGAGCTCGAGGCGCGGATCGAGCAACGCCACGTTGGAGTAGGAGGAGAGCGACTCGGGAAGGGAAATGGCGGCAGCGCCGCCGCCGCCGCCACCGCCGCCTTCCGCGGAGTCCACAGCGGCGTCAGCGGCGGAAAGTTGTGTGAAGTGGTCGCTGCTGGAAAAGAGTGCTGTTGCGAGGAGGAAAATGCACGTGGAGGCTGTGCGACACGGACTTCGCAAAGCAAGCGCCATCAACTTGTTCGGAACCTCGTAGGCTTAACCTTCGGCCTTTTTCCGTTTCCGAAACGGAAACTTTCCGGCCAGATTCCGTTTCCGCGATGTCACTGGATGACTGAGCCGTAGATGGCTGGAAGATTTAAATCGGCCCAGGCTTTGAGGAGACGCTGCTTCAAGTAATGGACGGATTGGAAGTTAGTTATTCCAACCTGTTCCGCAAAAAAATCGAAGCCCACTAAGCTTTAGTCATGGGTGTTTGAACGGCATAAGAACTACGAATACCAGACTAGGATGACAGAAAAATGCCGTAGTGTCGGCATCGCAAAAATGTGAAGTGTTGAGGACGAGAGTGATTTTTCGAAATTGACGGACTCCTCGATAAATTCGATCGGAGGTGCACGTGCGGTGAGAGTCCTCGTGAGTTCTGGTAACAGGCGTAATCTGGATTCATGCGCTTTCCGCCTCTTGATGCGCAATGGACTGGAAGACGGCCGTCGCACGTAAGTTTTCATCTACGGCCAGTCTCGAGCGACCATGATTGTGCGGATTGAAATCGAATACACCCTGTTTCGCGCCACACTGACATCCGCTGTATGAACCCAACGCTTTGTGTCACCGAGCCCAGAATGGTGCTAGCACATTGTGTTGATGCACAATCACGACTGCCAATTGGTTGTGCCTGCTGTTGTCCTTGACCGGCCAGAAAGTGAGGCTGCATGAGGACAGCCGAGTACACTCCGTGAACATGTGCCAAATCAGAACAATCACCAGCAGCTGAGGTGTCGAAAATCCACAAGCGAGCCCAACGACTGGTCCATTGAATTCGTTCGAAACAAATCAACCCCCCGGATGCATCCGTGCCACGTGTGTGCATCCACAACCCCAGCCTGGATGTCAGGTCAACATGTGAAGACAAAGTCAATAGAACATTTCGAATGTTCTGATTTGTCACTTGGTGCACTGTGTGCCTGTCAACATTAGGGGTGTTGGTTACATGCACAGTGGCGCTAAATGACAGCACTGTTGACGCAGCTCCCGATTGTCAGCACATTGAGAAACATGGTGTACTCAAATATGTGTTGGACGGCAAAAGCACTACACTGGGATGACAGAACAATGCTGCAGTGTTCATCGCAAAAAAAAATGTGTTCATGTTGATGAGGACCAGGGTGATCTTTCGAGATTTGGGAGGTGAACGAGAGACCGTCGTGCGTTGTGGTAACAGGCGTATTTTGGATTCATGCGATCTTCGCCCCTATATGCGACTTTTGTCGCAGGAGGACAACCGTCGCACGTATGGTTTCATCGACGGTCCAGACTCATCCTGTGTGGATGGTGTCAGAGTGGTGCACGGCCCCACTTCGAACATGACGCCTGATCTCGGCTTGCGATAAGCTTTGCCAAGGTCGCCTGACGGTCTTTCAACACTCTGATTTCGCTGCCAATCATAACAGCGTCTCACCCTGAACCACGAGGTTCGACGAACGTGTGAGCGAAACGTGTAAATGACAAAATCATACGAAGCGCGCATGAGGGAAAAAGGCCGCATACAGAACAGAACCCATAAAAAATATCAATGCGACACGGTTATGTGATTTGAAGACTCCTCCTCACCCTATAACGAGGTTATTGAAATTAGCTGCCTATACAAGTGAGGGTTCAACATCAATACCACTGTGCATAGTACAGAAACACCTGAATAGAATGGGTGGGGGCCTTATCACGCCCAATACGAATTCCACAAAAATCAGAGGGCACATTTCACGGTTTTGGCACTCTATACAAGTACAACAACGGAAAAGCTATCGTAAAACAATGTACAACATCAAAGTAGTCCCATAAGCAACTCCGAAAGACGCCGCAAGGCTGAACTAAGGCTGAAGGCGATTACGCTAGCAGCGACTGGGATTGAAGCAGACCCGATGAATGATCGCGGGGGAGTTGGTTGTGGTTCAATCTTCTCTTAAAGCCAGGATCTCAAGTAAGAGAAATTGGCTTCAATTGCAAAACACTTGCAGCTCGAGTCACCTGAGAAGAATGAAGAACGAGGATGAATGAACTATGAATGAGGTGAGTACATATGGAAAACCCTAACTGGGTTGTACCCCCTATGGGATACCCCACTATAGCCTACACAACAGCATAAGCTATATAATGTTCTGACACACCCCCATAGGCAAAGTGGGGGAGAACAAGGGGTCACAAGACCAGTCAAGCAAAGCAGAGCAAGCTCAGGGTGGATCACAACGTCACCACACAGTCCGAGCACAACGACAAGGCCACAAGGCCAGTTCACATGCAGGAGTACACATATATATATAGAGCTAGACAAGCAAGAGCAGGTATATATATGTGACAGTACAAGTAAGGTCAAGAGGAGAGCAAGTGAGGCAAGACAGGTACAAGACCCAGCTGAGTGCAGAAGCGCTGATGGTCACAAGGCGCAAGTGCCTTGGTGAACACATCAGCAGTGTTGGCCTGAGAGGCCACGTACGCAAGTCGCAACTGACCACGCTGCTGCAGCTCACGAGCAAGAAAGTAACGGAGAGCAATGTGCTTCGTTCTGTGCTCCAAGCGCTGCTCTCGACACAAGGCCAGCATGGCCTTGTTGTCTACGTACAGCACTGGAGGAGAACGAGGCGGCTCTCCAAGGTCAGTCAGCAGGTAGGTGAGCCAGCGAAGCTCCTGTGCAGCCATGGCCCCGGCGTAGATCTCAGCCTCACAACTGGAGCCGAGAACAGAGGACGAGCGAGTAGCTCGCCACGAGACAGAGCCGGAACCAAGACTGAAGGTGTAACCCTGCGACGACCGCTGCGTAGCCTGGTCGTCAGCCCAAGAAGCGTCCGCGTGCCCAGTGAGGACCACTGGACTCCGCCCTCCAAGCACTAGTCCCATGCCCGACGTACTGCACAAGTATCGCAACACCCTCTTCGCTGCAGCCATGTGCTCTGGTCGGTGTCTCCCAGGAGCAACATAGCGTGCAAGAATGCTAAGAGGGTATGCAAGGTCAGGTCGTGTGCAGGTCATCAGGTACATGAGGCAGCCAACAAGCTCTGGATACGGGCCACTCGACTCTACTGACTCATCCGAAGGCAGAGCTGAGAGTGAGTGGCGAGTAGGCAGAGGAGTGGCCTGAGGCGAGGAGTACGTGAAGCCGAAGCGCTGAAGGACCTGCTGCACCATGTGTGACTGAGTCAGGGTAATGGTGCGGCGTGCTCTGTCCCGGGTGATCTGCAAGCCAAGGTAGCTGCGCAGTTCACCCAGGTCTGTGCACGTGTGTCTCTTCTGCAGCTCGGACTTCACGTGGGCGAGTCCAGCAGTGTCAGCTGTGGCAAAGACCAAGTCGTCGACGTACACGAGGATGTAGAACGGCGGCAGAGAGGTGTCGGTGCGTAGAAACAGCGACGGGTCGGCAGTAGAAGGAGCAAACCCAAGAGCCGCAAGCGTAGTCCTCAGTGTGTCGTGCCACTCACGTGGCGCCTGGCGGAGACCGTAGACTGGACGCCGGAGACTCCACTGGGTACCAGGAGGGAAAGACCCAGTGAAGCCAAGTGGGCGGCGCAGCCAGATCTCCTCGTGCAGGCTGCCCTGCAAGAAAGCAGTGCTGAAGTCGAGAGAGTGCAGCTCGTAGTCACGGTGAGCAGCAACGTGTAGCAGCACCCGAAGAGTGGTCATCTTCGGGGTGGGGGAGAAGGTCTGAAAGTAGTCAACTCCCTGTCGCTGACTGAAGCCACGAGCCACGTAACGTGCCTTGAAGACAGGCGGAGAACCCGGCGGCCGCTTCACCCTGAAGATCCACATGCCACTGACGATGTTCGCCCCAAGAGGGGGGACAGCGTCAACGTAGGTGCCTGTGGACTTCCAGGAAGCCATCTCTGCATCCATAGCTGCCTGCCACTGAGAGGAGTAGGGACCCTCTATCGCCTCCGCGTAAGAGCGCGGAGTCGGGATGTCAAGTGCATCCGGGTCTCCCTCAGGGGTAAGCAGTACGGACACGAGATGAGGTGAAGTAGCTGCCAGACACTGGAACTCCTCCTGCCTGTCCTCAAGGACGTCCGTGCCAAGGGCACACTCACCCCCGACTGACGGAGGACAGGCAGACCCAGACTCAGCGACAAGACTAGCAGCGTAGTCTAGGCGACAGCGAGCAGCAAAGTCGACGAGCTCAGTAACTAGGGCAGACGCAGCAGTAGACCCGAAGGAAGGGTCAGTGACGACAGTAGCAAGGAGACGCGTGACAGTAGGACTGGCAGCACGAAGAGAGTCCGACGCAGGGTCGGGAAGAGCAGGAAGAGAGGACTCAGGAGGAGAAGGCAAAGGGGCACGCAGAGGAGCAGTAGACGGACGCAGAGACATCCTGTGCGTGCCAGGGACAGGAGGAGGACGCTGACGCGAACCACGACCACTAGCGCGAGCAGCACGGACAGGCGACGCAGGGCGAGACGCAGGCTCACGACGCTCAGTAAGACCTCCAGTAGGACCAGTGTAGGGAGAAGGAGCAGGTAAAGGGGAGGTAGGCTGTAGCAGTGACCGCGACGGGACAGGCTGTGGACCCTCCAAGAGAGGAGGAGGACCAGGAGAGGGCGGAAGACCAAGAACCTGCTGCAGGAGTGGAACGAAGTACGGTCGAGGCCGCGTAGCTACGCCAGAAACAGCAGGGACAGCACCAGTACCCCCAGCAGGAGCACCCGCTCCAGCAGCACCTCCAGTAGCTCCAGAACCTCGAGCAACACCAGGAGCACCCCCAGCAGGACCGCCAGTGGTAGTCTCAGCTCCAACACCCTCAGCAGCACCAGCTCCAGTCGAACCCGCAGGCCCAGCAGCTCCAGTACTCCCAGTACGAGCACCTCCGGGACCCGCAACAGCAGCACCCTCAGTAGCCGACGAACCTCCAGCACCAGCAGCACGGCTCCAGCGCCGGGCAAACCACTCGCGCAGCTCCTGTGGAGAGAGTGGCTCCCGGCGAGACAAAGCACGCGTAGAAACTCGAGGCGGAGGACCTCCAGGCGCAGCAC